TTTCTTCAACGGAAAGTTGGTTAATTTTTTATATGTCCCCAGAAGTTTTCTGCAGAGTAAAATTTTGCGCAGTTTTTAAATTTAACATTTGGTGTTCCTTTCAGGCATTTTTACGGCACATTTAAAAGCCAGACGTTAGCTAGCAGCTACGTGAAGTTTAGTCACAGCTGACTTAAACCGTGAAAGTCTGACTAAACCGTGAAGTTTAGTCATAGCGCAAGCAGACGATGGCTGGCAAGCGTAGCTGCTAGTTTTAAATTTTTTTTTTTTTTTTTTTTTTTTGCATTATTATGAAAAGTGTTTCAGAAACTCTGCTTGTATTTTTATGATTAAGTAACAAAAATGAAGTAATAGATTTTTAAAATAGGGCAAGATAAAATAAAAAGGTTTTAACGTTATTTCTTCAGTATAATTTTAATACATTATTTTAATGATATTGATAAATATAATAAAATGTTTGAAAAGCAATCATCCAAAAATTTGCAAATCTCTGAATGAAAAATGTTGATAAGTTGACAAATTTCATGCCATAAAATAAAACTCTTATTTTAAAATGGGAAATTTTTTTTGGGTGTAGCATCTTATGAAATCTTCTTTTACAAAAAAGATATAATTTCAAAATGTTTAATGTTTCACTCGAGGCAGCAACTCATATCTAAAACTTGAAGCAACTCGCATCTAAAACTCGATTATATTAAGTAAAAAAGAATTCAAACGTTAACCCATCAAATATATATTTGTCAATGCATCGCCAAAAATATTCCTGAAAAACATTAATTCACACTCAAAATGAGTCATAAAAAACAGGCAAAAATATCAGATAAGTAAAATTAAGGAAATTCTTTTGCCAATTTTAGCTGAAATTAACCACTTGCGCTAAAGACGTGCCACACACGTCAAGATGCTTTTGTCTCAAACCGCGTGCAAAAATGGAAATAACGTGGTACACACGTTGCCTAACCACGAGATTGTTATTTCTCGAGTTACAGCTCTGGATTGCACTTGCAGATGCAGAGTGGCATAAATGAGACACTTTACCGCTTGTTATATTATAGCACATGGCATCACAACCGTGAAGTTTAGTCGTAGCGCAAGTGGTTAAAGACCACCAAAAAAAAAATAATCATTAAAAAAAAAAAAAAAAACTAAGGCCTAAGTATTTTTAAGGGCAGTATAAACCCTGTACTAACTTGTTCCACAAAAGGAAATGAAATACAGCTTAACTCATGGTCAGTAAGGGGGGTAAAACAGGGTTAACAGCATCGACAAAGGCAGCAAAATTTCTATCTGGGATACGAGGGTTAAATCCAAATGCGAGATCTGCCTACAGTGGAATAAATTACTATACATTTTCTGCACAAACAGATTCCAATATGAAATCACTTAAAAGAAACAGCTGCTTCAAATTTATTTTCAAAGTGTGTGCAGTAAAAACTTCCAGCAAAATAGAAGGAGCAAACCCATCTGTAAGCTGGTTTTAGGGAATAAATACTAATTAAAATGTAAAATATGCATGAAATATATTTTTTAAAACTAGCCATCCTTCCTCTTCTTACACCAAAAATTCACCAAATTAAGAGCAAATTTGTGTTAATGCATATGCATACTTGCCAACCTACGACACTAAAAAATCAGATTAAGAAATGAGGAGATTTTTCACAATGTTAAAAAGACTTTTTAAATGATAACAAATAGTTTTTAATAATGAATTAACTTTAAATAGTAACTAATTCTTAAATGCAAGCAGCACAAAAATAACTTGCATATAAAAAACACTTTTATTACTTGCATCGTTTAACCAAAATATATATATATATATATGTACTTTTAATCAGTTTTCAAACAAATGTTATGAACAGTGGCAGATTTTGCTTTCGTTAGCTTCATAATTTTGTTCGTAGCAATTGCCACGTAGGCCTGATTTCGCTAATGAAAGTCTTTCTAATCTGTCATCACTAATATTAGATCTAAATTTAGACCTCATTTTCACAACACTGAAAATCCTCTCACACTCTGCATTACTACGGGGAACTGTCAAGATGGCCAACATAATTATAGACATTTAACTATATTTTAAAATTCCATAAGCACCTTTCAGTTTTCCAATAAACTCCACTATGTGTCAATCCTAGCTAATTTTAGAACTTCATCCAAGTTTTCTAACTGTAAACTGCTGCTATACAACTGTTGGAACTGTTTCAATTTTTCCTTCCTTTCAGAACTCGAGATAATAATTAATATCAACAATGTGTTCATCCACATTTATTGGTAAAGAGCTGCCCCTTTTTCAGCTGCTAAATTAAGAGGTGACAGGGCACCTCATATCTGCAAATCTGAATTTTCCTTTTTAAGATGTCTGCACACCAGTCTTCCCAAGCCTACCAATACTGGTTCATTATAGCACCAGTGCTAAGCAATATCCAAGGGAACTGCATTTTCTTTAAATTTTTTAATTATTAGCTGTGCTATATTAAAGCCTGTCGAATGTCCTTCTAAAGTGAAGACAGAAAGTAAACTGCACTCAATTTCTGAAGGCTCTGGATTTAAAAAAAAAAAAAAAAAACAATTGGATACAGTTTTGAATCGGTATTATTGCTTCCATCTGTAGAGAGGCAGAACGGAGCTGTTTTAATGCAATCAAAAAGTGAAGATTTATTTTTCAAACCCATTTCTTTAACAATTGCAACTGTTTTTAGTTCTTGCACTTGAGTATTTCTTAGCGATTTCACTATCGGGGAAACACTTTTCTAAAAGGCTGCAACGTGATTTGATGCATTCAGTGGCAGGTTGTGCTCCAGTAAAAAGGCAAAACAGACATTCTGCATTAATAACTTTTTGGTCCTTTGTTTCCAAAGAAAAATTTTTCATCTTTTTCAAAACAACTCATGTTGTCCTTGTGTTTATGTGTATGCATATGTTTGAGAACATCTGTCCATCCACCAAGCGAAATCAAAAAATCGCAACGACAGATGGTACACATCGCAAATTTATTACATTTCCTTGAGGAAATATTGGAAGGAAAGACAACTGTGTATGATTTTTGAAATGTACACGAGTATATCACCTTTCTCGCAGACATATCTTGAAGGCACGTGTACTCGCACAACTCAGGACAAGATGAACGAAATAACTAAAGAACATCCAAATAACAGCTTGCTTTGTGCTCACTGGCTAATATATTCCAGATGACATGCAGTGGAGCTTGATGCCCATTGGAGAACTGGAGAACGACGTTTCTGTATATGTATATGCTCTCACTCACATTCTGCATAATACGTTCATATAATAATACGTTACATATAATAATGCAAAGCAGAAGTTCTCATCTGATTTGCAAGGTTTTGTTTTAGATATAATATACGGAAAATTCAATTGCTTTCGGACGTCCAAATTTTTTTTTTTTTTTTGTTTTTGTTTTGTTTTGTTCATATAATGAAGTATTAAGCCAAGTTCCATAAAAATAGTCAGAAATTTTAAAAATAAGAAAAGTCGGGGAAAATGTATTGTAAATCGGGTTGGCGGGAAAGCGGTCGAAAATCGGGAGAGCTGGCAACTCTGCATATGCATAAACATTATGAGATGAGAAGTTTGATTTTGTACAATTTTCAGAGAAAATTCAAATGAAAATCAGATGGAAATACAAAGCAATGCAAAAATATATCTTCTGAAGCCAACTTCTATGCAGATGTTTTACTTAAGACATTCAAACAGCTCAATACCTAAATTTACACGAGATATTAAAAATGCTATTAAATTACATGTGATAATTATACTTTGTACTGTAATGCCAAATTTTAGTTTTAAACACTTTAAGATAATAAAAATTATTATTCTCAAATGATGACTGAAATACATACAGCCCTCAAATGGTATGAAGGCATATCTTAGCAATATATAACATTTTTCATATTAAGAGATGAGTGATGAACTAAATGTCCTATACAACAGTTACAGAGAGCACTGAAAATTCAGCAATACTTGGAAGGTTTTTTTTTTTTTTTTCCATGCTGTGAGGGAACATAATTTTAAAGGGACCCTACATTCACTTTTTAAATGCAGAATTATAATTACTGATTTACTTGTATAATGATTCTGAATTAAAATATATTAATAATTAATCAACTTTTTAAATTCAAGGTCTTTTGGTAAATTTTATTTTACAATTTGCTTGCACTATTTTATTGAGAAAAATCCTGAGCAGAAAAATAAAACTTATTTATCAAAGTAATTTAAATCCAATGAAAATGAAATGCATAATTAATGCATGCTGTTGTGTGAAAACATTATTCTATCATTTATTGATGGAAAACAAAATTCAATACAAATATTAAATGATTAAACATTAATCTTTTGAAAACGGGATGGCCGTTATAGTGGCCATAGAGTCGTCCTCTCTTTGAAAAGACGGGGTTGTCCACTTTAGTGGCCATGTCTTCTTCCCCCATTTTCCAGGCTGAAAAGTGGGGTGAAATGTCAAATTTGATGTCCCTAGGGTTTTAACGACTTATCTCTTTCAAAGGTCTTCCTTTTGCAACATAGATGCACCCCTCTGAGAATCCATTAAAGTACACACAATAATCTTTGTTGCAAATAGGAGGTAATTTCTTAAAGGGGGGGGGAAGCATTCGGTTCAAGTTTCCCCATCCTTTGGTAGCTTTTACTGCTACCAAAGCCCCGGCCTCAAAAGGTTAATTGAATCTTCATAAAAAATTCTACAAAAGTCGAAAGTAAATTACAGGAATACAGACCATATAAAATTTAGCAAAAAAAGGTAATCCACAAGGGACGGAGTAACGCATTTTGCACAAATTAAGTTTCTTTACTTCAATAAATGTCATTTATTTCAGGGAATATTTTCCTTAGTAAAGGCTACAAATAAAAAACCAGAAAATTGGCAGCAATGATATAGCAACAACCAAAATATAACATATTTTATGAATCATACTTTTACTCTCATACAGTCTGCTGTACCGCACAGACTTCTGGGAGAAAAATCTTACCTATGTCTTCGAGATCGAGATCTGGAACGAGAATAACGCCTGGCCTTATAACGATCTCGTTCTAATTCTGGACAATCCCTTGCCCAATGTCCATGACGATGACATCTATAACATTCAGCAGTTGTCTGAAAAAAATTTATATTAGATTTCAGTACTTAAAATGAATATATTAAGCAACATTACAAGAAAGTTTTTAAAATGTATATAAAAATGCATAAACCTGTCAGCATCCTTACTTTTCTTATACATAATTTATAATTAAAATTCCTATCATGCCACAGTGATAATACATACTACATTAATGACTGGACACCCATTGTGACATAAGTCGAATTACACCTAGACATATCAATATCCAATGAGAACAGCTCAAATACATTTCCTTACATGAAAACAGAGGAGTCATATAATACCTTTTAAAGGTAATCGAGAGAAAAAAAATTAAGCACCTATCAGCAAACAAGAATTGAATAAATAAAAGCAGTTATCTATACTATCTATACAATCAACTTTACTTTTGTAATAACATTTTAAGCCTAAAAGAGAAGTAAGTACAGTACAAAGTTCGAATGTCCAATATCCGGAATTTTCCTTTTGTCTGCCCCGCTTCTGATATTTTTCATAACGAAAAGTTCCAATTCTTAATTTTTCTTTACTTCGGCATTGGTACTTTCAAATAATTTAATATATTTTTGCTTTTATCCTTGCATGACTATCAATGCATTTACAACTTCAGAAATAGCTCATTCAGTGATGTGTAAATAATTTTTTTTAAATATTCACATAATCGAATACCAAAGAGCATGGGTAACCTTTCATAACTGACATTACAGTTGGTGATGATTTCAGCTATCTTTACTGCAAAGTATAGTAGTAACAGACAGATGCTGAGTTTTGACTGAATGGATGACTACCCACTCCAAAATTCTGATTATAATCCAACTGAATATCTTTGAAATGACTGAAATGCCTAATGAAAACACACCACATCACCTTTAACCAACAAAGCTGTTTACCTTGATACAAGAAAAAAGATACAAAGACCCCTATTGATATTTAAAAAAGCCTAACAGTCTTCCAAATGGTAGAAGGTGATAACTGTACTGTAGGCTTGCATTGTACCGACACCATCTCAGTTTCAAAAAACACTTTTATGGGTGTCCATCCATTACTAACATTCAATGTACTGAAATAGAAAAACTAGAAATACATTAAAATATGTATGTGTTTCTTCAAACAATGATACATGATATACATACAAGGAAAAAAGTACAGTCCGGAAGAATTCAAACAAAATTACATACCCTGCTGCGCATTGGAGGACGACTTGAAGGACCTCTTGCCCATTCTACCACAATTGTCTGCCCACGAAGATCACGTCCATTTTCGTACTTGATTGCATCCTATTATGTCATAACCCAAGTTATTTTTAAACACACACAAAAAAAAAACTGAAAAAGTAAATACTAGTCATTTTTATTGCACAGAAAATTTCCTAATATACTGTTATAGCATGCTTCTCTCGCTCAATTATTTATTACTGCTTAAACAAATTAATTTTTGACATTATATAAAACAAAAAAAATATGTAACATGTGGAATGAACTAACCTAACATTTTTTCAACTATAAATTGATGACCTCTATGCAGAAACATTACAAATGTTCTATCACTTCTCAAGAGCTGAATGTTTTTCAAGGATATTCCAGCACTGACGCCATATGTCCGCTATTAATACAGTATCAAATTTCTTCAGGCATTTCACAAATATATCCCACCAAAACTAAAAATCTTGTATCTTCAAAATTTCTTCAATACTTTCAAAAATGACATAATACACAATAAATATCTTCATAACATTCATGGTGCTGATATAACTCCAGGAAATCTATTTTGTCCTTGAAAGTTATTTTTTCACCGAAACATCAAATTCCTCAGATGATGGCTTATCTTCCTTTTTCCAGCAGCAAGTCGATAAGATCCAACAAGTCACATCTACTTTATTTTTTTCATCAAATTTTCCAGTTTATTTTTTTCCATCAATTGAGCTAACATCCATAATGAAATTAAAATCCTGTTCTGCATTCAAGCCTTCAATTTTTCAAAATGAATGACTTTTTTCAGTTTTCATGGGAAAACTATAAAGATGATAATCAGTCAATGCTTTGTTTGAAATTTGCTTTTTGGAAATTAAGTGAAACAGCAAAGAAATCAGTCCCTATGCAGAAATATAAGTGTAATTTACGAAATTTTTTTTTATAAAAAATGGGAAAATACTTGAAATATACATTTTGAAAAGAATTTATACCACTTATTAAGTTAATATTTTAACACACAAATGATGTAAAACCTATTAAAATGTTCTTTAATACATACAAGACCAAATTACGAGTGTTCTGCAAGCAAAAAATTTCAAATCCAACAAAAAATTAAGTAGTTTTGCTTTCATACATCAATTATCTTCCACAACAACTGCATCAAAGCACTGAAAACCCTTAACTTCCTAAAAGAAACATCTCATGCTTGTCATGATAAACAAAATTGCAACAAGTACCAAAACTGACATTCGTTTAATACTTTAAATAGTGAATTAGCCCCACTTTTTAACTTTTACCACATACTTTTGTGTGAAAAATTTAGCAGCTAATATATATTTGCTTTTTTTACTTTTTATATTTTACTAATTTTAAATTTTATCAGCCCACTTAAATTTTAAACTAACAAAGCCATTACATATTTAGGAATATTAATCACACTACTCCCCAGCATCAGCCTTGTGTGTCAAATTATATAACCATAAAAATATACACTAGCATACATTAATGAAATGTATCACTGGAACCTGGTTATATTTTTTCTTTAAAGGAATTTTTTTAGAAAATCAAAAATATAAGCTATAAACCTACTGCCCCAAAATTAAACAACTAAGATTCTGATAATAACAATCTCATGTAATTCTGATAAAACACATGTGCTTAGAAAATCAAAAATATAAGCTATAAACCTACTGCCCCAAAATTAAACAACTAAGATTCTGATAATAACAATCTCATGTAATTCTGATAAAACACATGTGCTTAGAAAAGCACAGACCTCAATAAACAGAACTAATATAATTGCCTTATACTTCTGCTACGTTTGCAAGAGATATGTTAAGAGATTAATCAGTACCTCTAGTGATAGAGTTTGCAGAACATAAATAAAAGAATCAAATGTGATTTTTCCAATATTTTCAGCACAGTAGTTGCAAAATATGGTTAATCCCTGGAGATACCTTTGCATTACGTTTTATGCATGTGAGAGAAAATTTTGCTGCAATTCAATCTGTAATGTACAACTTAATTATATAAACCTGTATTAAAAAAAATAATAAATTGCTCTAAAAACCCTTAAAGGAAATGTGACTATGCTGCCTATTTAATAGATAATTTAAAGTTACCGATTTTATCCTGAAGAATTGGAATTACCTGGAGTCCATGACATTACAGAAAAATGCCATGCCCAAAAGAAAGTGCTCAAAATTCTGAAAAAATTTACTCTGCACATACACATCATCAGCATGTCTTGTAAGGCATAGAGTCAGAGTCAGTTCTAAGTCTGGACAAACATTCTAGTCTTTCCATGTCTACTCCCTAGGCTCAGTGGATGAAAAACCAAAATTCAGTAGCAATTCTGACTGCTTAGCTTAGACGTCAACATCAAGTCAATCTGTCCAGTCTAGCAGTAGCAGATGTCTGGCAGCTCCACACATTCCTCTAATTTGAACCGTGTCAAAACACAATTAACATGAGTCACTATAAAACTAAAATACAGTTGAAAAAAATGAATCTTACTTTACCAATTACATATTCACTAAAATCTATGAAATTTTTAAAGTATACAGTAAAATAAAACTATTCATAACTTTTCAAGGTTTGTCAACAGGGAAGCCAAAATCTTATGCACATTTAACATAATAAAATTATGGAAATTATGTTACCTAGAACATGAATACCTATCAAATTTACTTTAAAAAATTTAAATTGCATTAACTTAGTATTTAAATATAACTCCTAAAAAGAAACAGGTTAAAAAATCCTCAAAAATTGCATGCAAATTACTCAAAACATTCAACAAAACTCATTCTTACCTCAGCATCCCTCTTATCTTCATAATCAACAAATGCATATGCCATTCCAGTTCCTATAAAAAATGCATTCTGAAATTTTTATATTTTTCTACATGGTTTTATAAAACACTAGATTTTACAGTTACACAGAAAAATGTTTATGCAAATAAGCAGTTCAATGTTCTTTGATTTGATAAACAGTAATTTTTAAAATACAAAGGTTGAGGACAAAGAAATAGACTAAAAGTCTGAAATTTGGAATGAGGAGGAGACTTCACGGACTCAGGATTTCAGAAATTTCCAGATTTTAGATTAGTTGCAAAATAATAAAGCACATTTATCACCTTAAATTCAGGTGAAATTCACCAAAATTCTGGAGAAAAAAATTCAGCGCTAACAACTTAAGTATGCCTCAAAGACAAAATTATATCGTCTGGATTTAAAACCTTACTCAAGAGTTGCCAGCTCTTTCAATTTAGGTGGGAAACTTTTAATTTCTGACCACTCCTGCCAACCCGATTTGCAACATATTTCTCCCAATTTTCTCTTATTCTTAAAATATCTCCCAATTTTTATGTAGTTTGGCTGAATACAAAAAAAGTTATTTTTGGCATCTGAAAGCACTTGGTTTCTTTCTAGATACTTAAGGCCAGTTTACATCTGTTCCAGCAGCTGGTACAGAGCCTCTCCTCCAGGCCTGTGGAACTGAAGGAACAGACCTGTACTCTGATAGATTGTTTATACCAATTAAGAGTGGACTGACAACTAACTCCCCTCTGTGTTTACAAAATGGATACAGACCTGGCAGCTGCAGTGCTTGAAGTCTGTGAAGCAGTTTCAAACAAATTAATTTCTGTTCTTGGGGGGGAAGGAAAAGAAATGGGTACCTGACTCTTTGGTGATGTCAAAGTTACAAAAACTTTATTGTATTTCAGATACACTCACTTAAAATATATTCTGTAAGCATAATTGAAATGTATTCACTTTCAAAATATATTCATTAATCGATTTCAAAGAAATTCAGTTTATTGAGGGAAGTTATTTAGTCAACTGTAGTTATTGAAATTCAAAATAGCAAAGTTTTTCTACTATATATAACTGTTTATTTACAGCTAATTAATCATTTACAAAATAATGTAAAAGTAATAATGTGCTTTATTATTTATTAATAGAAAGAATATATTTATTCTTCCAGAATCAGTAGCTTTCTGTGCATGTAATTAATTATGCACAGTTCTGACTGGAACTGTATTACTTCTAGAGCAAAATGCAAAATTAACAAACATAATATTTATTCAAAGCTACCATTAACACAACAGAAATAGACTGTATAATGTCTACCTAATCATTCAGAAAATCTTAAATAAATAAGAAGTAGCAAAAAACTTGGAAGCATTACATATATTATCACAGGTAAAAGAATATATATTATGACATAGTTCCAACAGGAAGATATTTATCGCAAATTATTTTTGGATCCTACTGAAATTGTGTTTCTGGACAACACACAAATAATATATACAGTGATATCAACAAATATTAATAATGATTAAATATAGTGATTATACTTTACATTTAAAATGCTGAAAAGGATAGTTTAAGAAAATTAGGATTCATTAAGCATAATTTGTATAAACCTCAATACACCTTAAGTACTTGTACTGTATTTCACATCCAAGCTGAATTGTAACAAATTATAGATCAGAATGTTTTTTTACACAAAGCAACAAATTTAAATATCCCCAATAAAATAGATCTACATATTTTTTTCATAATTCCATTTTTATAGTTTATATCATATACAGTCAAAAGTCGTTAATCCGGACTCGTCGGGACTTCGGCGATTCCGGATTATCGATTTTTCCGGATTACAGATCATCAGTTTAAATCTGGTAAGATGGCATGCAGAAATTACAAAATTAAAAATATGAAACCGTAATTTATGAAATAAAGAACAATTATGAACTAAAGGGTATCAAAATTTACAAAAAGAAAAAGCTTAATATTTATTTGTTTACTTTATTAAACATTTCTTTCAATGTAAGTTGCTTCGTTTCATGTGATAATACTTTCTCTTTAATTCTATTAAACAGACATAATTTCCTGTTTAGTTACAAAGTTCCGCTCTTCAACTCCTATAATTGCTGTGTTGAGAATACCCACTATAATTTGTCAATCGAAATGTTTTCGTTTTCAATAACCTCTGGGTCACTTTCTTCACTATCCCAAGTGAATTATAATGACCAGTGATTTAAATCATATCAAAGACAGAGTACATCGAGATGAAATACTAGACTTAGTAAGGAATTATAAGCCAAATAAAATAAAAACATCTGCTCTGAAGATAAGGATAGTGTTGACAGATCAACTTCCAATCCCCCACGTGAAATTGATAAACAGATTTCGGATTTCAAAACATACTTTCGCTTTGTAGATACAAATTACATATTAGTAAATATATATCAGAAATTCTATTTGACATAATCGAAAGTTCAAGCTTACTTTCATGAAATTGCTCTAACAGTCTGCAAAAAATAATAAGCCGGATCCAATTCGAGCAATCTGCAACATTAACTGAATTTTTAGCTTAGCCTATCCCGTCCGTCACACATTAAACGCGCATGCGCACAAACATATTCGCAGACGTAAAGGTCTTACGCGCACTATTAAACGCCTGTGCGCATGCGTGAACGCGACGCATGCGCAGAAAGTTTGTAGCTTTGAGGTCCGGATTATAGATCATTCCGGATTATGGGTGTCCGAATTAACGACTTTTGACTGTATTTATTACATCCTCATGTAGGGATGCTTGTAGAAAAATGCATATAAGCTCACATAATTATAGAAGTATGCAACTTATTAATGAAGTGGTCCATAACACTTCATAAAATTCGTATGCATTAAAAAATGCCATGGTTTGGCTATCGCTCCATCTCTGCGTTTTCGACATTATACAGCTCACTGTCCACTGTCACGATGTCTCTGAGAACGCTGCTCGAAGTAACTGCCCAGATAGATTTTTCAACATGTTCAAAGTAGAAACGGAAGCGCTGACTCATCTCCCCTACGTTTCTACTTGGTCGAATTACATTGTCAAAGTAATTGTAACGAGCAGCTCGCTATGATCTGCTTTACCAGGTGTAAACTGGCTTTTATGAAAATTGCTGGTCTATAAGCCAAAATAACAAATCAAAGAATTGCACAAACTCGGTATCCATGTACTGCCAAAAATCGCCAAGGGGTACCCTAAAATATACTTTACCATATTTATGTGCATTACATTTAATTATAAGTAATAATTATGTAAAAGTTTATTTTGCGATATTCTCTGATAGCAAGAACCTTCCTTGAAAAATTATGATTATGTGAACTCTCAAACAAAAAGACTTCACGCCTTATGTAAATTTTGATTTTGTTCCCCTGCAAGAGGGCGCCTGCGAGCACCGAACTACTTATATATCTATTGTACGAACTTGTTCTTCACACAGTCTAATAAACGCAATAACGAACATTGTGTCTATAAAATTACAAATGCAATTGAATCAGATGCTGTCACGTGCAGGATTTATTCTAAGAAAATGGGCTTCTAACAGCAAAGAAGTCTTGAATTCAATTAATCCAGATTTGTGCTTATCAAATGTTTCTTTGAACATAGACAATGATGATACTGTAAAAAAGTTAGGTATCCTGTGGCATCCAGCTTCAGATATGTTTTTATTCAAAGTCAATTCATCATATCCTGAAGTCTTAACCAAACGAACATTACTTTCAATAATCGCAAAGACCTTTGACCCTCTTGGATGGTTGGCACCGATCACGGTTCGGTATAAATTGATTATGCAAAGATTGTGGAAACATCAGTTTCAGTGGGATGAAAAGGTTCCTCCAGATATTGAATGTGAGTGGAAACAACTTACAGAAGATTTGTTATTTATTAAAAGTATCAAAATTTCACGATTCTTGTTGGTTGAATCAGATAACCAGTTTCAACTGCACGGGTTTTGTGACGCCTCAGAGAAGGCGTACGCCGCTGCAATTTATTATCGTTCTGTGTTAGATACTGGACAAATTAATGTTCAGTTGGTGATAGCCAAGACAAGAGTTGTACCACTAAAAACCATATCACTTCCACGATTGGAACTTTGTGGAGCATTCCTGTTGACTAAATTGATGGATTTCACCTGTAGAGCTTTGAATACTCCTATATCACAAGCTTATTTCCATACTGATTCCACTGATTCCACTGTTCCATTATATTAGCCTGGATAGGAATCTCATGCAAGCCGATGGAAGACCTTCGTCGCCAACAGAGTAGCAAAAATCCAGACTTTATCCTCTCCTGTCCAGTGGCATTATGTGAGTGGAAATGCTAATCCTGCTGATCTTGCAACTCGTGGTGTGTGTGTCATCATCTGCACTTGGTTACTTCATTGTGGTTACGTGGTCCAGATTTATTGTATAATTTATTTCCTTTTCAGCCAAGCATTATCTGCACCACTACTGAATGATTCTGTGCCAGAGCAAAGATGTGCTTTACAGTCTAACAACTGCTGCCAGTCACTTGACAGACGCTCATGATTTATTTTATAAATATTCCTCTCTCACTAAACTTAAACGTGTTGTAGCATTATGTCTGAGGTTTGTAAATAACTGTAAAAATTCAGAAGATCAGGTAAGTGGATTTTTAAAAACAAGTGAATTAACTCTAAAGCTATGCATGTGTTAATTAAATTAATGCAATATGTTGAATTTAAGAATGGAAATTAACACTTTAAGGCAGAAATCAATCATTATCTGGTACAAGCAAAATTTTATCTTTGAAATCCATTTTTAGATAATTTAGGTATTCTCAGGGTGGGCGGTCGCTTGCGACATGCAAACCTTGCATATGGTTTTAGGCATCCCAATTTTGCTTCCAAAGAAGCACATTTTAACTCATCTCATGTTAGACATTACCATGAAAGACTTTTGCATGCAGGTCACAACTTATGCAATCTTGCATTCAAGAACAATATTGGATCATAAATGGTAGAGCTGTTATCAGAGATTTAGTTAGGAATGTATAAAGTGTTGC